GCAGCCCGGCAAGAGGCTGAATTACTGGGGGCAGCATCGTCAGGTGGCGGCAGGAACGCAGGGATAGCATGATCAGCTGCCGCAGGACCATCAGCAGCGCCACCGACATCAGAAGGGCCCAGAAGTCAAATAGGCGCATCTCCCTCATGCAGGCGAAGCTGGGGACCATGGTGTCCATCGTCCTCGCGACCCTGAAGACCATCACACGCAGCGCCACCTTTAGCAAGGAGCGCCAGGTAGGACGGGTCTTCGGCATCATCATCCCACCGCGCCGCATCCCAAGTGAATTCAGCACCAGAGCCGAGCTTGTTCGTGCTGGCGCATCGCGTGGTACCCTGCCCTAGGCCAGTGCCAGCAGCTGGGCGAACACCAGTGTCGGCTTCATGCGCAGGATCGGCAGCTTGTCTAAGCAGGGTGTGCCCCTCCGGGGCAGCCTTGCACTCCAGCGCCAGAACACCAGCTGGAGAGGCAGCCCATTCACAGTCAGCATCGGCAACACAAGCGAAACTGACAGGAGTGAGATGACCAACTGCGCCAAGATGCCAGCCTTCTATGTCTTGTCTAACCTCCAGCCTCCAATGCCGTCAGCGCGCGCGAGCCTTCAATGTCGGACGTCAGCGTGGAGAGATGGCTGTGTCGACAGCGGACACCGCGAGCGTAAGCAGGAAAGAACCTGCACACCGACACGGTACGGATGCGCGGTCCGTCGCCCAGCACCTTCATGCAATAGAACTCGAAACTGCCAAGAACTGGTTGCCGGGGAGCGTCGTCGCCGCGAAAATCATCGTGGGCACCACCACCTGGAACGTCCTGAACGAGAGGACGGACAGCAGAACCAATAGGTTGAAGAGAGACACCACGCTCAGCAGCTTCCACTCCAGCACAGACGGCGCCAACATGTACACAACCAAGGGCTCATCCACAGCACAAGCACCAGGACAAGGCCGAGCAGCGCCACTCACAGCAGCGTCCAAGTGAGCAACAGCCTGCGATCGGTCGAGGACGTCCCGAACCGCGTCAGAGCCACACGCACCGCCAGGAAGCAGATCAGTACGAACAGAATGACCAGCAGCAGGAGGACGACCACACATGCCAGCGTGCCGAAGTTCACGAAGTTGACTTTGAAGAGGGTAAATCAGCTCGCCCATCTTGCGCATACGCTCGGCGATCGTTCCCATTATGTTGAGCACGCGTTATTCGGAGCGCAGTGGGTTCTGTTCTTGAGCAACGGGGTGAGGCAGCGCGTTCTCACAATCAGAACGGCCCTTGCCAACGCCAAAACTGAGCGGCGACCTGCACCGCATGCCACCAGCAGCGGCCGCAGAACAATCATCGCGACCGTCAGGAATACCCTTACGACATGCGCCACGCCCAGCGGCACAGCCAAGAGGAACGCCACGAACTTCAGACAGATCATCGGCTCGGCGCTCATCACGAACAGCGGGAAAAGCCTCTTCCAGCTGCCGACGCACGTTGTCCAGGGATCACAGCACCCGTCTGTTGGATGTACCCACCACCGTGTCAAGGAAAGCCTCGATTAGACCAGGGATCGCATCGCGGAGCGTGTCAAACTGCTCGCAGACACGGTCGGCCACCAATCGCCGACGCCCTGAGGAAGGGCACGGTCAGCATGAAGACCAGCAGCCGCAACATGCTCGACGTGAGGACCATCTGCCACGCCAGGGAAAGGCGGACGCAGTACACACCCATAACCACCTTTCAGGACAGCACCAGGGAGATGAGCATGTTGATCAGCCAAATCACGCAGAGGAACGTGCACAACACATGGAAGATCAGTAGCCGCACCAGGCGGCGAGGAAGACGAAGCCTGAGCAAGAACTCCAGGTGCAGTGCCCCCCCACTTCAGGAAGACAAGCCGCATGTTGACAAACACACCCATCAGCCAAGTCACGATGAGGAACAGGTGCACCACAGTTAGGGCCAGCAGCCATCCCAGGCAGCGAGGTACAAAGAGGAGCCACACAAGGCAACGATGAAGACAAAGCTTGAGCATCATCACAAGAATCAGCAGCCACACCAGGCAGCGTCGGGCGATGGCCACACTGCTCACGCTAACGCAGAGCGTGATCTCCCGATCCACCAACCCCACCCTTAGGAAGACCAGCAGCAGCTGGCACAGCAGCCGCAAGTTGACAAACGCGACGATCAGCCAAGTCAGACTTCGCGCACGGCGGCGAGGGGACGCCGGCAACTCGAGGATCAGCACGGTCACGTCGCTCAATGTCTTCATCAGCACTTGGGACTGTGCCTCCAGCAAGAGAAGAAATGTCAGCTGCCACCTTCTGAAATTTATTACCCGTGCAAGTGCCCACAGGTACAACAGGAAGAGAGCTACGCTGAGGGAGAAGATCTTGCAGCACCAAAGTGGTGCGCACCACAGCCGGCGGGACGACGGCCGCTTCGGTAGGCACCGAGGGCACCCAGTGGTTGGCCCTGCCAGCCTCAACGTGAACACGAAGATGAGCCGCCGTCGCATCAG